GGCCTCAAATCCTGCTCCAGCCACGTGGCTTAGGCGCTCCGGAGCCTGCCGGCCTCCTCACCGCGCTGCTGAGGTCCCCGCCCCGGGCCCGGCACGGGGCCTGCAGATACTCACCGTGTAGAGGATCAGGACAGAGATAAACTGGGTCAGGCTGTACAGGGCCATGTACTTGAAGACGCTGAACGACGTGTCCAGGGAACAACGACCTTCCCTGGGGAGCGGGTATGGGCATGAGGGGGCCCAGGCCGGCTGACAGGCCCTGCCGAGACCCCGCCCCCCACCAGGCCCCTGCCCGCCTCACCTGATGACCATGGGCACACACTCAATGTTGGCCACGCTCGAGGTGAAGGGCGAGACCACTGAGGCCTCGGCCTGGGACAGCGAGATGCCCACGTCAGCCGCCTTCAGGGCCCCGCAGTCGTTGGCGCCATCCCCACACATGCCCACACAGTACCTGTTGGAGAGGGGAGGGCAGGCGCGGCCCGGACTCACGTGCTGGCTCTGAGCCCTGGAGGGCCCTCCTCAGCTGCGAAATGGCCCACCCACCTCCCGGGCCGGCTGGCAGAACCCGGGGACGGCTGCATCCCGACTGCCCGCCGGGTGCCTGGGAAATGCTCAGTAAATGGTACGCAGTAGGTGCTCGGTAAATAGGTGCAATTACAGTAGCCACAGGGTCTGTATCCACGGGGTCTGTATCCACGGGGTCTGTATCCACAGGGTCTGTATCCATGGATACAGAGAGCCGACTGTACTACACCATTTTACATAAGGGACTCGGGCATCTGTGGACGTTGGTATCTGCAGGGACTCTCAGAACCAATCCCCCGCAGAACTGAGGGCGGTGTACTACCGTCAGCATGACAGAGCCGGGGGTGCCTGCTGGGCTCTCTGAGGCTGATGGCTCCTGAACGCCTGGGGTGGGAAGCAGGGACATAAGGGCCAGCTGGGCCCCCGCAGGCCCCTCCCCATAGGCACTCACTGAAGCTTCTGTAGTTCACACACCAGCTCTGTCTTCTGCTCGGGAGCCATGCGGGCAAAGACGGTGCCCTGGACCAGGACCTGGGAGCACAGGGAGGCAGGGGAGGGGCTGAGGCAGCCAAGAGGAGGGGGCAGAGCGTGGCGAGGTGTGGGGCGACCAGGGAGGTCCGGGGCAGCCCTACCTTGGGCAGCAGCTTGGGGAAGTGCTTCATAAGGACACCAAAGGTGGGCCCGCTGAGGGCCAGGTGGCTGGATCGGGGGTCTGGCTCCATGGTGTAGCTTGCGGCCTGGTCAGGATCCTGGGGGCCCGGGAAGCTCAGCTGAGCTCCCCCTGCCCACCCTGAGAGCTGGGGCCCGGGACAGCTGACACAGGGGTGGGGTCATGGGTGGGGTCTGTGGCGGAACTTGGGGTCAGCCTCACCTGAGCCCCGTTCACGGCTGCAGAGGACTCCACTGGCAGAAGCTCGAGGGAGGCAGGCTGGCCCCGCTCAGGCGGGTTGGCGTGGATGATGACCAGGCGCTCCTGGGGGCCCACCATGCCGCAGGCCTGGGCCACGGTGACCGCCGTCTGCAGGTTGTCCCCTGAGGGTATGGGGCAAGGTCAGGGTCCAGCTGCTACTGAGGGGGCCATCCTCACCCTGACACGTATAGATGGGAAAATTGAGGCCGGACAGAATCTGTCTGCCATGACTGGCTCAGTGAGCTCAGGCAGGGCATCAGTGTCTCTGAACCTGGGTTTCCTTGTCTATAAAACTAGGGATCAAAGGTCTTAGGAGAAACTGGGAGCCTGGGTTGGAGTTCTACATATACCTTTTTTCTGGCCACGCCATGCGGCATGTGGGACCTTAGTCCCCTGACCAGGGATCGAACCCGTGCCCCCTGCACTGGAAGCGAGGAGTCTTAACCACTGGATGCCAGGAAAGTCCCCTGAATCTCTCTTTTCTTGCTCCATGAAATTGTCACAACCTTTGAGGCTGACCTAACTTCCCCCATTTCTCAGAGTTGGAAACCGGAACTTGGGGAGAGGTCACCAGCAGCTGAGCTGGAACGCTGTCCAACACCAGCCCCAGACTCTTTGGAAGTCACTCTGCTCCTCTGGGCCTCACTTTCCTCATCTGTCAACTGGGGTGACAATTATCACTCAGGAGGGAGACTGTGAAGATACCTGAAATGTCTGAAAAGGACCAGGACTGAGGCAGGGGCCCAAAGAGATGCCCCAGGAAGGGACGCCAGGTACCCTTATCTCTGCCCGGGATGGGGTAGATTCTGCGCTCCTAACCCAGGCCCTGCTGGTACCTGTCACCATGACGGTGCGGATGCAGGTCCTCCGCAGAGCCTGGATGACGGGTGTCGTCTGTGGCTTTAGCAGATTCTGCATGACTAGCAGCCCCAGGAGGCTCAGCCTCCACTCCACTGCATCCCTAGAGGGTGGGCAGACCCGGGTCAGAGGTCATGCAGTGGCCACGACCCCTCCCCCAGCCACTGGGCTGGGGCATCGGCCCTGGGCTCTGCCCCCCTCTGCCCTCACGAGGCCGTAGGCTCAGTGCCCAGGGCCCACCTTGTCAGTTGCTGAGCTGCTTCCATGTTGGGTGCGATGGGCAGCGGCTTGCTGGCGAGGGCCACCACGCGGTAGCCAGCAGCTGTGTAGCTCTGCAGCATCTGGGCGAAGTCGGTGGGCACTGCCAGGGAGAGGCAGGTGTCACTGGGACGGGGAGGTGGAGGCAGCGACACGGGCTGGGCGCCCACCCCATTCCGCGCCAGTGCCGACCTGCAGACTCTGGGGCCCTCCCCCTTCACCTGTCTTGGGGTCGCAGAGGCCTGCCACCAGCTCGGGGGAGCCCTTGACGCAGGCCTCGGGCCGGGCCGCCCCCGGCCATGCCACCACCACGCTCATGCGCTGCAGAGCCGATGAGAAGGGGAAGTGGCTGAGGATGCTGACCGGCACCAGGGGCTCCTCCTGTAGGGTTGGGGGGCAGCTGAGGGGCTGGCCTGTGGAGCCCACCCCTCCCAGCCCACGCCCCACAGGCACCCCCGCAGCTCACCATGCCCTGCAGGTGGAGCTCCTGAAGCGGGGGTTTCATCACTGCCAAGACCTGGGTCCCAAATGTCGAGTCTGCAGCTGATCCCTCCTCCAGGACCTGGGAGGCAGGCAGGGAACACTGGCATCGAGGGGCCGGGTGCTGGCGTGGCCGGGGGCAGCCAGTCCTTGGCCCGTGGAGAGAGGCAGTGGGAGACACTCAAGTTAAACTCATGGAGGACTTCCTTCATGGGAGACTGGATAGAACAGAAGTCAAGAATGTGCGCTTTGGAGTTGGGAGGACCCCAGTTCAAACTCTGGCTTTGCCATTTACAAGCCGCTGGGTGACCTTGGACACAGTTTCCTTCGTGAAGCAGGTTTGAAGCTACCTCCCTGGGGCTATGGGGAGCAGTACATGAGACGAGGCCCGTAGAGCGCTGGCACGGGGTAGGTGCTCAGCACTAGGCCTTGGCCATAGTTATTCTCGGTGGTGGGCATGATAGAGACACCCCCTGGAGGTCCTAGGATGAAGACTGGGTGGGCTTAGTTAGGGCTCGGCCTCCTCACCCAGCCAGTAGATTCCACCATCTTGAGGTCCATGGGGTCACCCACTGGGGTGTCCCGGAGCCGGCTGAGGGTGTGGCAGGTGGCCAGTGCCCGGAGCAGGGGCCCCATGGGAAGGCGGCGGGGCTCTGGGACCAGCGGCAGGAACTCCTGCCCCTTCAGGGGCACCACACCCATCACGTCCAAGCCGTCCTCTGTGAGTGTGCCTGTCTGCAGGGGGCAAGCGGGTGGGCCAGTGATGAGTCCTGGGGTGAGCTGTGCCCCGCTGCAGTGGGCGCCCACACCCCTGGCCAGGCGGGGCCCATGGGAACCCCAGGAGCCAGAGCTGGACCTTTGCTCAAGCAGGTCCGTCTGCCAGGCTGTCCTCCCCAACCCGCGGTGTTTCTTGGTCTGGCATCATTTCCCCCAGGAAGTCTTCTTCTTTAACCCTACAGTTGGGTCAGGTAGTGCTTGCTCGGGGCTCCCACCCATGGCCTCTTTACTACTCCATCATTTGTTCACTGTGGTACCAGGAAGAGGGCCTGGCCATGTACAGCTCTCAGTGTAATGAATGAATGAATGAGTGAATGAATGAGTGAACAGATGCCTGCCTTTCCCATACCATATTCCAATGGCTCAGTTACACGTCCGGCCCCTTCGCTAGCCTGGGAGCTCTGCGAAGACGATCAAGCTCCACCCTTTCAGTTTAAATAACGTCCAAACTCCTCACCAGGGCCCGCCCGCCTCTGATGGATCAGGGCTCTGCCCGTTTCATCTTGCCCCCCTCCCTACTGTTCCCCGAGCCCCAGGCACACCGCTCTGTTCCTCCAAGGAGCCAGGAGCCACTCTACTCCTTCCCCTCCACCTTGCCAGCCCTGCTCTCCTCTCAGTGTGGTCCACCCCTCAGAGGTCACCAAGGGACCACAGGAGCCTTCCTTGACTGCCCTCTAAGGGAGTGACCCCATGTACCACCCATCGCGTACCCCATTTGCCTCCTCCCTAGAACCCATCACCATCTGCAGCTCTCCGTGGTCCCTGGCCACTCACTGTGGTGGTGGGGACATCTCTGTGTGGGTCACTGCTGGATCCCCAGTGTTGACAGCAGCCCTGGGTACCCAGTAGGCCCTCAATGGTTCTCAAACAGACAAATTAAATGAGTTTAGACATTTCATGCTCCAGACTGTGAGTTTGATCCAGGTGGGAGCTGGGGGAGAGGGTGCCTCTGAGCGTTTCCATCCCAGGACAGGACCTGGCGGTGGCCAGTGTTCACAGCAGGGGTGCACGGGCAGGCGGCGGGGCTCTGGGCTCAGCAAGCCCTCAGTCAACGTTGCTGAATGAGGGATGTGGGTGTGGGGGGCCCGGCTGTGTCCCCCACCCCACGGCCCCCACCTTGTCGAAACACACCAGCCGGAGCTTGCCCCCCAGGTTGATGCGCATCGGGTGGGTGCAGAAGACGCCCTGGCTCCGCAGCCGGTTCTGGGCGTAGAGCGTGCACACAGTCATGGCGGCAGGCAGGGCGGGCGGCACTGCCACCGTCACCAGGTCCAGAGCCCGGATCACGATCTCGTCCAGAGGCACCTGGCAGGGGGCACTGTGAATGCCAAGGGCCAGGCCGGGTGGGCCCTGGGCCCCCAGTGGCAGCCCCCGCCCGGCCCCCAAGGCTTACGTGGTTGCGGTGGAGGATGAAGATGCTGTAGACGGTGCCGAGGAGAGCTGAGGAGACAGCAAGGGGCTCAGCGGGACTGGGCACGGGGCTCCGGGGGCCACTGGCAAAGTGGGGTGTGGGGGGCCACTCACCCAGGACGGAGAGGGCAGCCACAAACTTCACGCTGTGTTTATAGAACTTGAAGTTGATGGGCCGGGGATGCAGGATGGAGCTCACCAGGGCCCCTTTAGCCGTGCAGAACCCTGGGAGGAGATGGGGAGACTGAGGCAGGGGAAGCTGAGGGTCAGGATGACCCCACCCCTCCCCCACACCACCCACACCTCTGGGGTTGTAAGGCATGATGCTCCTGGGGTCAGCAATCACCCAGTTTGGCGGTCACACGGGATGGCCACAGGCCTTGCCCGGGCTTCATAAGCTTAGTAAATAAGGAATTAGTAGTACCGTCTACAAACTGGGTGGTTTCACTTAAAATCCAGATGTGCGGCTTTCGCTGAAAAATGTCAAATCTGGTGACATACTGGGTCCCTTTCACACGTGGCAGGGGCCTGCTGGAGATGTACAGCACCACTCTCTTCCTAAGGGGTGGGCTCCTTCCTTCTTGCCCCGTCCCTGCCCACTCCAGCCAATCCCAAGTAGGGGTGGGACGTGCCTGAGTCGCACAGCAGGGCAGTGGTAGAGATGGGTCCTGCCCGGCTCTGTGTCACCTGTCCTCTAGGTGCTGGGCCCAGCATCCCTCCCCACTTCCCAGACTTGTTACCTGTCTGGGTCACCACTGCCAGGGCATGGGGTCCTACAAAGGCCCGGGCCTGCAAGATGAGGGTCCCACAGAAGAGCGTGTGCCGCTGGTGGGTCTCTGGGAAGTAGGGCACCGGTCCCTCCGGCAGGGCGGTCTTCAGCACTGGAACGCTCTCCCCTGGGAGGGATGTGGTATGAGGCCCATGCTGGTCCCTCCCACCAACAAGACCAAGCCTTATGCCTAGAACTGTTACGGAAGCCCCAGGTCTCATTTAACGCTTGTAACTATGTGTGAAGAAATCACTGCCCCCATTTTACAGAGAGGTACACTGAAGCTCAGAGAGGGCAAAAGACACAGACACAGTGAGACAGTCCTGGGACGTGTGCAGCCAGTTTCCAAGAACCACCTCTCAGGGGAGCCAGAAAGAGTTGTGAGCGTAGAGCATGGGCAGAGTGGGGGGCCAGGGTGGGGGGCCGGTGTTCTCCTTCTGTTGGAATTATTTTGTAACAAGCTGTGTTACTTTTATAGTTCAAATAAGATATTGACACGAGAGGGCTTAACCTCTGTAAAGCCCTGAGCTCGCTGCCTGGCAAAGAGCAGCAGTGCCTCACCCAGCATCTACAGGGGTAGGACCTGCTGAGGCGGGACTGTTACCTGAGCAAAGGGAAAAGAGAACTCCATCTAAAAGTTCTGACACAAGGCAGAGAGGCTCAGTGGCCTGGCAGGGGGGATGGGAGGCTGCTGGCCAGGGGCAGGAACTGACCTGTCAGAGAGCTCTCATTGACCATGCACTCGCCAGCCACCAGGGCAGCATCGCAGGGCATCAGCCCACCCTCCAGGGGCAGCACCAGGCAGTCTCCCGGCACGAGCTCACTGGAGTCGACCCATTCCTCCTCTTCGGGCAAGCAGGGGCCTCAGTATAGCCTGGAGGGGACTCCCCCACTGCCTCCCCCAGCCTTCGTCTCTCCCCCAGCCTCTCTCCCTCCCCCAGCCTCTCTCCCTCCCCCAGCCTCCCTCCCTCCCTCAGCCTCTCACCTCCCCCAGCCTCCCTCCCTCCCCCAGCCTCTCACCTCCCCCAGGCCGGCACACGCACACCTGTACAGACAGCTGGACCATGTCCCTCAGAGTCTGGCTTTGCTGTGGGCAGGGGGACAAGCAGGGAGTGGGTGGGTGGAGGTCTCCTCGGACACCGCCTGCCCTGTCCCATCCACCCCACACCGCACACCTTTCTGGTCTTGTATATGGACACGCAGATGGAGACCATGGAGATCAGGAAGATGCACAGGGCATACCAGTAGTAGTAGTCAGCCAGCCACAGCCCGATGCTGAAGGCCTGGAACCCATAGTAGGGGTTCAGTGCCTGGGGGAGGGGCGGGGAGGCAGCGTCAGGGCCCAGGTCCCCCAGGGCAGCCCAGCCACAGGCTGGGCCTCCTGTGCCCACGGAAGCAGAGGGCCCGGCAGTTGCCAAAGGACTAAAGCCAGGCCTGTCTCCTGGTCAGTCCTGTCCAGATGTCCCTTGAGCCAGCAGCTTCTTTGCTCTAAAGAGGATACACGGGTGTTTACACGCCAGGCCCCTGCTAAGCACATCATCTAAATGTCATACGATGGTGAGGACAATTCCACAAGGCAGATGCTACCATCAGCTTCATTTTACAGCTGAGGAAACTGAGGCACAGAAGGGTTAAGTCACTTGCCTAAAACCACACAGCTCCCAGGTGGCCGACTAGAGTTTACATCAGGCCAGACTCCAAGGCCTCCTCTCTGTCTCACAGGTGTCTGCCCCTGGCTCAGAGGGCTGGGATGTTAGCAGTGTACTCTAGGTGTGTCCAGGTCACTGGCTTCCCTTTGTCCCCATGTGACCTTGGCCATGCCACGTCCCCCCCTCTGTAGCTCCGGTTCTTCATGTGTGAACGGAATGTCCCTACCACGAGGCTGTTGGAGCGTGAAAGTGGGTAATGCACGGAAAGGACCCAGACTCTGGAGCCTGGCGCTTGGCACACAGCAGGAGCCCAGGCTGTGTGGGTTTGTCTCTTGGCCTCTAAGCCCCAGCCCCAGCCTGGACCAGAACTTCCAATTCCTCTCCCTGAGCTGACTGGGGCTGGTTCTGAGACAGCTCTCCACCATGGAGAAGAGGACAGCTGGTACAATCTGCCTCTGTAAGGGTGGCCCAGAGAGGGCAAGCCCCTGGCCCAGGTCACACAGCCAGCTCAGGCCAGAGGGGGGGCGGGGCCCAGGGACAGCCCTACCTCATCCACCAGCAGCTGGGGATAGGACTTGACTGGTACACTGATCACGTTGGGGCCGTAGATGGTCTTCCTGTAAGAGGAAAAGCGGCAGGGCCATCAGATGGAGGGGCCGTGGCAGCTGGACCCTCTAGCAGTGATGGAGCGCCCTACTTTCCAGCTGGGGAAACTGAGGCCCAGAGAAGGCAGGTGACTGGAAGAAGGCCACACCCAGGGGGGTAAGAGAGGGGGCCCCAGCTCTCAGGGCAGCACCCACCTCACGGTTTGGTCCTGGAGGCTGAGGCCGGTGCTGGAGCAGTGGAGGTCGTCACAGGTGCGGCCGTGGTCCAGCAGGCTGGGAGGACGGGGGGGGGCACTCGTGTGGGTGGTGGGGTCTGAGCTCTGCATCCCCCACCCCTCCTGGCCCACCTCTGCCACACTGAGCTCCCGGGAGAAAGCTGGTCCCTCACGAACTCTGGGCCTAACTTTCTCCTTCTGTTCCTCTGATCGGGCCCCAAACCATGTCACCCAGGAAAAACGATGAGAGATGATGATAATACTTAACAGTGACAACAGCCGCTGTTATTTAGTGACATTTAGAGCTTTCTTTACAATGATGCCTTCTTAGGTAAGTCACTTAACCTCTCTGGGCCTCAGACTTCTGATCTGCAAGATGGAGACGGTAACAGCATCTCCCCCACAGGGCTACGGGTGGAATAAATGAGCTAAGTTTTGCAAAGTGCTTGGACGGTTCCTGGCACTTACTAGGTGACAAAGGTCAGCGATTTTTTTTTTTTTTTTTTTGGGTTGCTTTGGGTCTTAAATGCTGTGTGCGGGCTTTTCTATAGTTGCAGCGAGCGGGGGCTACTCTTCTTTGCAGTGCACGGGCTTCTCATTGCAGTGGCTTCTCTTGTTGCGGAGCATGGGCTCTAGGCATGTGGGGCTTCAGTAGTTGTGGCTCGCGGGCTCTAGAGCGCAGGCTCAGTAGTTGTGGCGCACAGGCTTAGCTGCTCTGCAGCATGTGGGATCTTCCCGGACCAGGGATCGAACCTGTGTCCCCTCCGTTGGCAGACAGATTCTTAACCACTGCGCCACCAGGGAAGTCCCACGTCAGCGAGTTTTGCTATTCCTCTCATGTAGCAGAGGCTGTTGGTGCCCTCCCCACACCCCCTAGGAATTCACGTCTGTGCGGTGCAGCCTCTTACTGGAAACACCTGTCCTGGCTTGAGGGCTTCTCCTGGCTGCATAAGCATGGTCTACCCGTGAGCTAGGAAGGCCAAAGTTGTGCAAGAGTTCATGTATTCCGCAACCGGTAACGGTAGGAAGGTGATGGGTACGTACCCCCTGGTTTCCTCACTCCTTGGGTGAGGGCACCCTGAGGTGCGTGCTCTACACTGGCTCAAAGGGATCCCCAAGGGACTGTGCTCCAGGTGCCCACATCAAGCCCCCTCCACCGGCTGCCTTCTCTTCCCGGCCTCACTTCCCCTACGTCTCCTGGCATCACCTTGCAAACAGATTCCCTGCACTTGAATCCTTGTCTTGAGGTCTGCTTCTCGGGGCTCAAACTAAGACATAAACTGAGCTCGTATTTATCAAGCGCTTAGTAGATGGCAGAGCAGGTACAAGACGCCAAACAGAAGGTCCAAGTCCAGAGCTTACGGTCTGATTCACAGCAGTGTTGCTACCTCAGGCCGGGTGCCGTGCTAAGCCTTACATGACAGTAATATACTTTACCCTCGAAACAACCCTAGGAGGCCAGGATTCCCTTCATGAGCTATTTACAGACAGGCTCAGCGAGTTGAGGGGGCCAAGGCACAGAGCTGAGAGGGGAGTCCAGGCTGGGCCACCTCATGCCACCTTCTCTGCCCAATGCAGCACCCGCTGTGGGCGTGGTGTAGCGTCGCCGGCCCTGACCCCTACCTGACTCGGCAGAAGGCCTGCTGGGTCTCGATCCAGACATAGCGCTGGCCCCGGAAAAGGTAGTAGCGCAGCGTCCGCTGCTGGGTGGGAGAGAGGAGAGGTGGGCTGGAGGCGGCCCCAGGAGGAGTGTGTGGGGGGCGGCAGGGCGATGGCACAGGAAAGAGGCGGGAGAGGCATGGAGGGGTAGAAGGTGATCGGCCAGCATCCTGGACGATTGGGACGAGAGAACCAGAGGCGCCCAGAGAACAGCTGGAGTCCAGTCCCCATTGTACAGGGTGTGAATCTGAGGCCCAGAGACAGGCAAGGACTTGTCCAGAACCCAGCTGTCCACTTACTGCCTCTTCGGTCCTGTGGAGCTGGGCGGTGTCCTTCCATGTCCCCTCTGGTAGTGTCCCCACAGCTGCCTGGCTCCGGCCGTCCTCCGCCTGGGTCTGTGGGGGCAGCTCCAGGCTGGGGACGGGGGTGGGGTTACCGTGGAGCCCTGGGAGCTACCCCAGCACCTCCCCATCCCCACAGAGCCACCTTCCCTCTCTCGGATGGGAGGCCCTGGGATCAGAGCCTTCATGGGGGGAGGGCAGGGGGAGCAGGGGCTCCTGGGAAGGGGCGATGGGGCTGCCTCACCTGTCTTTGCTGATGGCTTCAGTCTGCACCTGGACAGTATAGAGCTGCCACGAACTATCCTGGAACACGGAGGTGTGGACTCAGTCCTGGAAGAGACCCCTCCCCTCCCCGGTCCCACCCGACAGCCAGATGGCCCCTGCTGGAGGAGGCAGGGATCAAGGATAGAGGTGACCTCCTTGGGAATCACCCACCCCGTCCCATCTGCCCACTGCTCAGATGGGAAAGCTGAGGTCCAGGGAGGAGAAGCACCTGTGTAAGGTCCCACAGAACGTCAGCGGCCAGGTTGGGCTGAGAACCCGAGCATCCTCCGCCCCGCAACCCTGAGCCACCGCCACCCCACTCCAGCTCCAGGCTCGCCCCTGCTCCCCCATCTCTCACCTCTTTGTCTCTTATTTCGATAACGAGGGTTTCGGCGCGGGCCAGGCTGCACGGCTGGAGCCGCAGCCGCACCCGCCACATGGGCTTCCATCGGAAGAGCAGCAGAGGGATCCCCGCCATCATCCAGACCACGATGTGATAGCCGATGACCCTCCATGGACTGCCACAGTAGCCGCTGAGCCTCTGTGGACATGGGCGAGAGCAGGCCAGGTAGTGGGGCGGGAGGGGGCTGGAGGAGGAAGCCAGGGTATCTGGGTGGGCCTGGGTACCACCCCCACCTGGAGTTGCCCCTGCCCCTCCCCTGCCCACGTACCACGGATGAAACTGAGGAGCTGAGGGGATCTATAGATGTCTCTATCGTCAGGGTCCCATAACCGGCGGGCGTGTTGCCCACGAGCGGGCTGCTGTCTGTGGACAGAAGGGAGAAATGTCATTTGGGGGGGGTTGGGGGGGGGCTCCTCCTTCTTTCTTTAACCACGACTTAAGCACAGTCATTTTATAAATCTGGTCTGATAGATCCAGTAACTCGAGTCTTCACGGGTCCGTTACCGGGCTGCCCTGTGGGTCCTCACTCGTAGGACCTTGTTTCCTTGTGCGTCTGGCGATTTCTGACTCGGTGTGGGCGCAGAGTCGGGGGACGGGGCCTGTTGAGCACTTTGGGCTTCAAGAGCACCCCCACACACATCCAGCTATTAGCTTCCTGGGAGCTCTGTGTCCCACATTCCATCTGGTCTACACTCTGAGGGCAGGGACAGGGCTGCTCATCCTTTTTCTTTTTTAGACGTCATTTTTATTTATTTATTTATTTATTTATTTATTTTTTGCGGTACGCGGGCCTCTCACCGTTGTGGCCTCTCCCGTGGCGGAGCACAGACTCCGGACGCGCAGGCTCA